TTACCAAATGCGTAGATAAGCCAAAAAGTGCTTATAAGCCAGTTTGACCAGCTTATAAGCTTAGCCAAACACCCTCTAAATGTATAAGAATATTTAGCTTGAAACCCAGTCCGTTCATCTAGTTAGTATTGTATATTAACTTGAGATTTTTGTAGGAACCCATAAACCTAAAATCCTGGATCCGCCTCTGAAGTTATGTGCCTTTATGTTTTGATGATTTAACAAACTTCATATGAGAACCAAATAGGGAACCTGATACAAGCCTCTTTGTGCTCAGAACAACAAGTCACATGTCTAGCACAAGTTCCAATGATATCAGTCAAGGGAACAACAGAGGGAACAGATGGCTATCTGTTCCTCCGGTCACAGTACAAATCAACTCTTTATAGTTGTTAAAGCTGATGCACTGCGGTCACTGTTGAAGCATGTTGTGTACCAGATACTTGCTTGCATCATCCTAGTGATCTCACTTATATATTATCAACATGAGGCAAGGGATTACACACACTTGCAAACCCTAAAACATAATTTACTCTCAAGTGTGCGGCCGCTTTTATTTACTCCAAGGCTTGAAGAACAAAGCAGCAACCGAACAAAGGACCAGATCCCAACATTGAGTACATTGAGTGTCCTTAGTATTGTTGTGTCTTTGTTACTGTTATTCACTTGAAATTCCTACTCAGCTTAGTTAAAAGCATCTCGCGGGATATCTTTGTACACCATAAACCTCGTGTTTGTGTTTGACTAGAGTTAATCAAAGTGGTGAGCTTTATAATAGAGTTATTACAAAGAGGCTTGCAATATAGTTATTGCAAGTAGGTAAGGGATTAAGAGTTTAATTTCTATGTTACAATAGGTTGTAATCTAAAGTTGCTCGGTTAGTGAAGTTAAAATCTTACGAGTAAAGCTGTCAAAACTGGACAGCCCAGCAACCTAGCCTAAGCCTCACAGGCTTTTCAATTTGGTGGGCTAGGGCGGGTCGGCCCTTCATCTAAATGGGCCTTAAAATGACCAGCTCAACCCAGCCCTAAGAGGGTCGCGGGCTAGGGCTGGCTGGCCCTTTAATTTTTTTTTTAGAATTTTTTTCTTTATATCTTTAAATATTTCTTCGTGACATAGTCTCTTAATTATATAAACGACTTCTGTTTGTTTAGAGCGTACAAGAATCTTAATATTTGACAAGAAATCTCATAATTGAAATGCAAATTCTATATCTCTAACTCTTCTTTTAACGTTACATATTTTTTAAATATTTTTCTTTCACTTTCCTCATGTTCAGCGATTGTTCAATAAGTTTATATGTTGAGGTTTTTTAATTCATGTTTAACATCATTTGCTAATTTTATCATTATACTCCATAAAAATTTTAAAATTCATGAAATTTGTTAGTGTTGTCAATTTTCTTTGGGTATTAAAACTTGATCTTTTTCTAAACTGAAGAGCACTTTAATTATTGATAATATATTATAGTAATCAAATTAATCATTGGCCACTTAAAATTTTTCTATTTTGTTGTTAATTAAGCAAAAGAAAAACTAATCTTGTCATACTACATGCATATCAAAAATTTTAATTCCAGTTGATATGGACGAGTAAATGAGAAATTTAAGGTTAAGGAATAAGGATTATAGTTAATAATTTTTTTAGTTTTTATTTTTTTAAAATATTAAATATTTAAATTTTAATTTTAATTAATTTTTGGCCCACGAGCCGGCCTAGGCCCAGCCTCGGTCAAGCCTCAAGAGCCAGCGGGCTGACTTGGGCCGAACTTATAAGCCTCAGTTTTAAATGGGATAAAAATATCCCAACCCAACCCTACCCAAGTAGCGGGCTGGGTTGGGTTGGATTCACGGGCCAAGCCTATTTTGACGGCTCTACCTACAAGTGTAGGTCGTGGTTTTTAATCCCGTGAGCTTAGAGTTTTTCACGTAAAATACTGATGTGTTATTTACTTATCGTTGTGTGTGTATGTGTGTGTGTGTGTTCTGTGCGAAGTGATAGAGAAATAGGTTCTCTATACAGTTTGGTGGACTCTTAGTTTACTTCAATTGCTATCAGAGCAGGTTTTTTCTATAAGGCTAACACCTAGAAAGGATCTACATGGCTGCTCCACCAAACTTTGAAGGAGGTCAATCAACATACAGACCACCAAGATTCGATGGACAATATTATGGCTGGTGGAAGACAAGAATGCATGATTTTATCATGGCTGAAGATTCGGTGTTTCGGGATGTTATCTGTGATGGACCCTTCGTCCCTATGAAGACCATTAGCGAGACAATAGTCACAGTCCCAAAGACAAGGAAGGAATACGATGATGTCGATCGCAAAGTTATCAAGAAAAACTCTCAAGCAAAGAAAATCCTCGTCGGTGGTATTGGACCAGACGAGTACAATAGAATCTCAGCTTGTCAATCTGCCATGGAGATCTAGGAGGCTCTCCAAAAGCACATGAAGGTACAACTCAAGTCAAGTAGTCAAAATTCGACATGCTCACTACTGAGTATGAACTCTTAAAGATGAAGGATGATGATTCCATCCAGGACATGCATACTCGCTTCACTTCCATCATCAATGAGTTCCATTCTCTAGGAGATATTATTCCAAGGAACAAACTAGTCAGAAAAATACTCAGTGTGTTACCTGGTTCTTGGGAGAGCAAAGTAAATGCTATCACGGAGGCAAAAGATCTGCAAAAGTTGACGATTGACGAACTCATTAGAAATCTGAAGACCTACAAAATGAAGAAGAAGAAGGATCATGAAAGAAGAGAATCCAAAAAAAAGAACCTGATTCTCAAAGTAGACAATAGTGACTCAAGTGGTGATGATACTGACATGGCCTATTCCGAAAAAAAGCAGCTCTAGCAGAACAAAAGGCTATGATTCCTGTCACAAATGCAAAAAGCCAGGACATTTCATCAAAGATTATCCTCTCCACAAGCAGGAATATTACAAGCACAACACAGACAAGACGGCCAAGAGGAACCTGGTTCCAAACAGATAATTCAAGAGAAAAGATGTCATTGATAATGTTGTAAAACAAGCTCTTGCTACATGGGGAGATTTCTCTAGTGAATCTGAGAGAGATGGTGAACAAGGTGACACCTCCATGATGGCCGTTGCGTTGCAAGCGAAGCAGCAGAATATGACTTCATATTTGCCCTGATGGAAAAAATCTGATGAGGATGAAGATGATGATGACGATGAGGTAAACTTTCTATACGTCAAAGAAATTTAAAGTCTTACTCTCAAAAGAAGCTGGTATCTCTAGCTAATGTCTTGATTGATGCTTACCATAATCTTATCAATGATAAAAATATTGTAACTGAGAAATTAGGAGAGGCAGAACATGAGAGAGATGACTTGTTGGTAGTAGTTGTGGATCTAAAGGAAATAGTAGAGGATTTAAAAAAGGACAATAATTCTATAAAAGCTTCAATAGAAAATTACATGAACTCTTCAAAGGAAAAGAAGTGGCAAGTGAGGCACACATTAAGCTTGAAAATGAACTCAAAAGGGTAAAATTGAGTATTTGTGCTGAACTTGAGAGAAATAGACAACTTTAAAAAGATCTAAACGGGGTTAAAAATGAGATAGATAAATCTCTAAAGTGGACCTGGTCCTCTGATACAATCCATATAGCAAGTATGTTACAGTACTGATAACTGGATTTGCACTCATTGTGGTAACACTGATCATTTCAAATATTCCTGTAAAGCTAGGTCTTAGTCCCAACAGAAAAACAAAGTCTTTGTTGAAAAAGTATCTACTGCTGGGGAACCTGGTTCCTACAATAAGAAACTTGGTGATGCATGCTTAAACAAAAAGAAGTATAATTCGCTCCTTTCCTCATTACGGGGGACCCAAACTTGTTTGAGTTCATAAGTCTAATCTCTAGTTTCCTTGTGCAGGGAGCAGTGAGAGGAAACAGCCAAAGATGATACATGGATAGTGCAGCTGCTCTAAACATATGATTGGAAGTACTGATAATTTTCTTTCACTCAAAGCCCTGCAACTGGGAGTGTGTCATTTAGTAATGTCAAAAAGGGATACATTGTGGGAGTTGAAAAAATTGGGAAGACATTCACTCATTCAATTGAGAATGTGTTATTATGTGAATGGCTTGAAATACAGCCTGCTCAGTGCCTCTCAAATCTGCGACAAAAGAAGCAAAGTGGAGTTCTTATCAAAGTCTTGCACAGTCACAATCTTATAACTGGTGAAGTGGTTTTGGTGGCGAAAAGGTTCAAAATAATCTATGTTGCAGATTTTGGGTCTCTGAAAAGTGGGGACCTTGCACGTTTGAGTGATGCTGAACTGTGGCACCGAAGATTGGGACATGCAAGCTTCTCCTTGTTGAACAAGCTAGTCAAGAAGGACCTGGTTCGTGGGTGGCCTAAGTCAAAGTTCAAGGATCACAAGGTGTGTAATACATGTGTGAAAGGGAAGCAAGTCAGGTCCTCCTTCAAGCCAATGAAGGAAGTAAGCACCTCAAGGCCACTGGATCTTCTCCATATGGATCTGTGTGGACCTATAAGGATGCCCAACAGAGGAGAAAAGAAGTACATCTTTGTTATTGTAGATGGCTACTCTAGATTTACATGGACCTTGTTCCTCAGAACCAAGGATGAAATCTTTCCAGTCTGTGCTGCCTTTGGGAAGCAGATTCAAGTGAAGATGAGCCATAATGCTGTAAGCATAAGATCTGATCATGGCACCGTGTTTGACAATACAAAATTTGATGAACTTTGTGCTGAAAATTGTATAAGTCATATTTTTTCAGCTCCTACAACGGAGAAATTTTATTTTGGGTGAGACTTACCTAACAATAGTTGTATGAGGCTATTCTCTATTTTCGACAAGTGTATTTGTGGGATCCATTTGCTATTGGATTAAATTACAAACAAAAAAGAAAAAGTGAGTTAGTGGAATGTGGGCCAGTTGAAAGGATTAAATAAAATAAAAATAAGGTAGAGTGGATTGTGGGTCCCACGCAAAACCACAAACACCATCTGAAATGAATTGAAGAGTTTCTCCTTCCCGTTTTTACCACCAGAAACATTATCCAGAACAAAAAATTTCTCCAAACACCATTTCTTCTAGTGTACTAAGGTATTATTCAATCTGATTTCTTCTACTAAAATCAATTCTTGTCGTATTCATCTCTATAATATAACACATTAATAGTTCATATTCTTTTACTTAGCCAAATTTAGATGTGCGATTTCTTTGAATGCAACTAGTAAATCCGAAGTCAATTGTAGATTGTGATTATCTTTAATGCAAAGTTCTAGCTTGTACAGATCTAAGCTTGTTCGGTCAAATTTTAGCTCAATTCCAAAGATCGTCTACTACGTCCGTTTATTCATAGGTTTAAGGTAAATTCTTTCTTTCTCTTATGGCTTCTTTGTATATTGCTCACAAAAATAAATTATATTTCTTATGTCTCTGAGATACACATTCTAGATGTTGAAGCATCTTCTACATTTGAAATTAGTAGTACCAAAATACAAAATTCACTTGTCATATTAGTGTAATATTTGTTATTACACTGTATTTGTAAAATAAATTCTGGAAATATAAATGAATATAAACAGTAATGAATATAAACAAAAATGACATAAACCAATTCGAGCCCACTGAATTCACAGTGTTTCCTTAAGGAATTTAATCCCCTCCTAGTACCCAAGGTTATGGATTATTTCCTCCCAGGATAGAACGAATTACACACTGGTGTAGTGGTACTTCAAACCCCAGTGTTTCAGCGAACACAAAGTTCGGTAGCAAATCACACTTACTTTTTGCTTTGTTTTGATGCTAAAAGTATGCAGAAGAAGGAGAGGAAACTCAGAAAATTGTAGTTAAAATTCTGAGCAGAATAGTGTTGTATTTATAGCCAAAGTTGGGTCTCTTCAGAATGGCTGTTTATGCAAAACGCCCACAACATAAATGCCATTACATAAATGGCCATTTACTCAATAATAAAGAGGGAAAATAAAGAGGGAAAATTGAAGAGGGTAGTTACTTTTCTGTTACCAAAACAGAAAAACGGATTGGATTTAATATTAATATTTAATATTAATATTTTGTTATTAAAACAAATATTTAATAACATTTCTGTTAATATTTTACTATTAACAAATAAATTTGGTCCAAAAAGTTAATCAATCAATTGAGGGATTGTTGGGTTTTAAGGTATTTAATTAATATATTAAATACTTAAAAGAGGGTGAATGGAAATGGAGGGAAATGAAATTTTTGAGTGAAATTTTAAGTTCCCCCTCCCTTGGCAAATGAGCATTGTCCCATATTGGAAGAGGAAGAGGTTTTTTATGGGTATATAAGCAATTGCTCTTCTTCTAGCTCTTAAAGAGTTGAGAAGAAGGCAAGCCTCGCGCCGTCGTCGTCGTCGCTCGCTCGGCTTCGGCTTCGGGCTTCGGCTTCGGCTTTCGGATTGTG